GGTTCTGTCACAACCAGAAGCCAATGGATGATATCTGATGCTGTTAAATCAATAATACAAGTAAATTATTTTCCAGAATGATGAAGGTAACTACCAACAGAGCCAGAAACAAAGGCTCTTAAAATAAGTTACCACTAAATTGGAAATAGAAAGAAATGAGTTGGGAAGCTACTAGCATCCAACACAAGCTCCTTGGTATCATTCGATTTTCTTTAGCATTGGATAAAATATGAAAGAAAAAAATAAACAACTATTATATAAAACATGTTCTTGTTTATCTTTGGTGGCATTAATATAACCTCAGATATTCAATATTGTTGTTAGTAAGGATTTTAATACCCTTACTGGTATAGAATAGACATGGGATACATGTGGCTATATGATATTAAATTAATTAAAACAAATAATATAAAAATTTCAGTTTCTAAGTTTCACTGCCATATTTCATGACTAATGGCCATTGTGTTGCACAGTATAGAATTATGAAATGTTCCATTATTGCAGAAAGTTATGTGCCCTCTCTCAATCTATCCATAATTAAGGTGTTACTTATCACTCCTTCTGGGGTGACTCCCTGACCTGTGTCTCTAGCCAAACACCCTGTCTCCTGAGCAACAGTCCTTCACATGCAGCTTCTGATTAGACAGGAATATTTTCACTTGATGTCCCATAGCACCTTCATACTCAATTTACCCAAATCTGAACATACCATATTTCCTGTGAAAGTTATTTTTACTTCCTATATTCCTACCTTTACCATTGGAACCACCACCATCTGAAAAGTCACTAGCATCAGATAGTGTGTCTCTGCTGCTTGCTGCTCACTCTCCCTGAAGCTGACTCAGTTCGTCACTTTTTCCTGACCCACCTCTTCTGGCCGCAGTATCTGCCAGTCGTCACGGTGTGATGATGTGAGGTGTTTCCTGCACTCCTGCTAACTGAACTCTGTTCTAAAACTGACAAGCCACTGACTGATGGTCTGGGCATCACTCAACTCATCTTCTTTATGATTTTTTTAAACCTCAGTAAAATGCCATTCCTTACTTTCTGTGACTATGATACATTCTGCATGTTGCTATGTTTTTGATGTAACCATAACAAAGTCTTGGAATAAAAAGGCTTTTGGTAAAATCAAAATACTATTTGTGTCTAAAGTCAGGGAGAAGGCTTAAGTTGTAAAACCAGACCACAAAAAGGTCGTGGTTTCACAGGAGCTTACACATGTGCTACCAAAACAGGTTGCAACCAAACGACTACAGCCCCAGGATCATAAAACCCATCACTGACTGGTTGCCTAATATGTGTAGAGGTCTATGTTGGAGGAGAAATTGGGATATCCTCACAACTTTATAGTCAATCATGGGAGAAAATAGTCAAACAGCTGTCTTTTTAAATATTAGTCAAGTTATGCATCCAGTAGAATGACCAGCTTAACGTCTGTTCCAATCTTGTTTTAGGGAGTCTCTGGTATTGCAGAAATGAGAAAACATGATTCTCAGATTGTTTTGTAGTTAGATTCTGGATGTGATTAATTTCTAACTTAGTCCAGTCTTCTACCTATAAGTGCACAATCTCAGCCAGGTTTTTTAGCCTCTTTGAACTTTGCTTTTCTTTGTTTCAGTAGAGTTTGTGACATTAATGTATTCTTGAGAGGTATCTGAGAATTCATTGATATAGTGAATGCAAACCCTTAGCACACTGTCCAAGACCTTTAAACACTCAAAAAATTGTTGCAGTTACTATTAAGAGGAAAAAATGGAAAGTGCTTCCTGTGTCCTGTTTCAGAATACATAGGGAGGAAGGTGGCAAAATGTGTCACATTCATTTCGCTCTTGCAGATCTAGCAGACACAGTATGGCTTTGGAGCCAGTGGGTGTAGTGGATGCTCCCGATCATTAGATTCTAGGTTAGGTGTGGTGTGATCCTGGTACTTGCTTTTAGGATGGCAGCTTCCTGATTGCTTAGCTTCCTGTGCATGGCAGAGATAACTAAGTTCATTTTGGTGAGCCAATTTTGTGGTGTTGTTCAGAGAATTACTTCTAGAGTCACAGCCTAAAACTTGTGCTTCTGGCCTTTGTTACAACAGTCTGAGTACTTAATTCCACGTGTTAAATACTGTGTGTTTAAAATAATGAAATGGCTCATATTATGTGAAACCAAACCCAGACCAGTACAGACAGAATGGAACAAGTGGCATCACATGTCTGCCACCAGCAGGCTATAGTGGCTTTGTGAAGTGTGTGTGACAGTAACTGGATCTTATCACTCCTCCAGATCTATTTTCTGATAAAATGAAAAGTAGTCCTGAAGCAGGATATAGAAATGGCATTCAATTTATTTTTCCCACTAGGAGAAATTTCCTTCACTATTGTTTTTCAGGATAACCATGGAGTAAGTGCCACAGCTGTCCCCTTTCAGATGAGACAGCATATCAAACAGAACTATGTAAAAATCAAGTTTAAAATTGTTTGCTCAGTCCACTGACTACAGAGAACTGTCCATAAAACCACAAGTATGGGCACCTTAGGCTGCATTTATTCTCAGTACTTGGTGACTGATGGTCAAGTGCCATTAGTCTATATACCTAGTAGGATTCAGTAGCAATCAAAAAGAAAAAAAAATGTTGTCTAAGAGAATGGAATATCTTTGCTTAAAATCTTAAGGTCTATTCAGTGATTCACCTATAGCAGCTGGCCAAAGGTTCCATGCAGGATCTCCATCTGCTACAGACACTTCAAGCACCATTGGATCTGCTGGGTGTACAGCCCAAGTGATAAAGCAGTTTGCACAGCAGCCTGAACCTGCTCCAGATTCTTCTCCTATTCTGTGTCTTGCTCAAAATTAGCAACCTTTTGGATTACTTACTTGGTCAATGGGTTCAAATAGCAGACCCAAGTAAGGTATATGCTTCCTCTAAAATATAAAGAACCCCATTAGGCATTGTGGCTTTTTCTTAGTAGTAGGAGAGCAGAAAATTTCCATCTGCCTAGAAAGTGTATCTTCACATGTCTCAGGCCATTTGACATGTTTCATGCCCTAAAAAAAGTCTCTAAAGCCGCAGAAATTGGAGGTGGGGGAATATTTCTATGCATGTGTCACACAGTTGTTAGAATACTTTCTACTTCCTGTTCACCTGGTTAAATCAACATGTAATATCATCAGTGAAATAAACCAGTGGAGCAGAGCGGCAATCAAGTTCCCTATTGTCTAGAATATGACATAGGTTTGAAAGTTTGATATAACTCCAAGTGTGTTGCTGGTCCTGACAGTTGACAGTAAACTGTCTCTGATTACCTTTAATAATAGGTAAAAATAATTTTCAAAACTTAGCACATCAATAACTGCATACCAGGTGCCAGGAAATGTATTATGTTGCTCAAGCAACAAACAAATAAACACATCTGGACCAGAAGTTGTAGTTGGAATCAACATCTGATTAAATGTGCAATAATTTATTTTTATTCTGTATTGTTTCTAGACTTACAACCAAATTCATCTTCTTACAGTAACTAAAAAAAAGCGTGATTCATGAGAAGATGCAATATACCCCAAAATAATTGTGAGGTTTTTGCCAATTTATATCAGCAAAATACTAGAGAATATACATGGGAACTGATCCCAAGGGTATTTAGTTCAATGTGAAAAAATCATATGTTGGAGTAGACAAAATTTATTGATGAGAGTACATTAGGCTGAGATTCTAGATTCATTGCATTTGAGCCACCTAAGAATGGCTCTAAAAGTCTGTTTGACTAAAAGATGGGCCCAAAAACATGTATAATGAACAAATTTTAAGTGCCAGAGAAAGGTATCTGTGAACTTAGGGAGATCGATATACTAAAGTGTTTTTATTACTTAGAACCTTCTTACCTACCTTCTGACTATGACCCCTGAGAACTTCCAGAGACACTGCCTTCACCAAGGCCATGAAAGATGCATTTGTGAGAAGAATCCCAACATCTTTCAACAGAACAGCTTTATTGTGATTGTTCTCTGCAGGCCAAGAGTGACAGTGGGAACTACTGCCATCAACTTGGGCCACCTGGATTTAATGAGGACAACGGTATCCCAGGGTGGCAGTTTCTGACTCAAGTCAGACTTCAGCTCACTTATGCTTAGAAAGATCAAATAAAATTTGAGCAGGCTTTCCATCAGTCTTTTGCTCTAGGGACAAAACAACCAAGTAACCAATACCAAAGTTCTCTGTGGGTCAGGCCATTCTGATTGCTACTTTGGCTCAACTGTCCATCGTGGAAGCCATGCCCACCTTGTTCTCTAGACTGAAGACAGAAAAAAAAACACAAACAGAATGTTGGTAGCCATAAGTTTGACACTGACTCAGGATAAAATGTTAAGCAAACACTAACAAAAAATTTCACAAATAAATTTAAAAATACATAAAGAAAAGTAGTAATTACTAGGCACTAAGTTTACTACAAGTAACACAAACTAAAGTGTTCTGATTTGTTCCTTAAGTGGGATTACTAAATCAGAAAAAAAGGTGATATATACACATATGAATGACCCATGGACATGGACAATGGTATGAGGATTGACTGTGGGAGTGGGGGTGGGATGGAAGGAGGAGGGCAAAGGGGAAAAATTGGGACAACTGTGATAGAATAAACAAGAATTTTAAAAAAGAGAGCTTTTAGAATCAAGGTAAACTAATACAGCAACATGTTTCTAATATTTTTGTATGAATTCATACCAAATGTTTTAATTTTATGTACCTATTGATTTAATTTTTATTAATTGCTTAGATATTTATTGACGTGATTTTCTGACTCTTAGAATGAAGGACAGAATTGCTGAAAATATGATATATAATTAGTTTCCAGAGTAGCCTTTATGTTTTTACTGTTTCCCACTTAGCTATATTATTTTTCAAAAATATTGTAATGATGCAAAATAAAAAACAAAAAGTGGTATCTTATATATAGTATGAAGTTAACCATAAGCTTCATGTGAACAAATAATATGATAAAGAAAACCTGGATTTCACTAACAATATATTGGCAAATGAAGAAGAACTACACTCTAACCTGCACCAGACAGCCTATATATGAACTGCCTTGCCATTATTGAATGAAATATTTTACAAGAACTATTCACTGGACAAAGGGTGCCTCAAGCAAGTTCAGTACAGGAGTGCTGGATAATGCATCACACAAAGAATGGCTGTGGTAACTGGGGTTTTCATGTCAATAGATAAATAAATAAAACCACTTTGTTGGCAAAGCACTGGTTAGCTGCTTTTATTTAACATATAACCATATGAAATAAAAAATTTATTCTGGATAATCTCAAAGGAAGATCTTGGAATAAATATAGATAAATTTCCAGGGAGGACTGTCTGGATACAATAGTCAGAAAATTCTTCCCCTTGCCGTAGATGTTTGGCAGTAGAAATAGCTACTGTAGGAAGCAGGGGAGCCTTTGACCTTTGGATGTTTTTGCAGAAGCTGAGCCTATATTGGCTGTTTGGTGGAGCACATTCCTGTAATAGGTAGCAGGCTAAACTAGATGACCTTTAAGATCTCTTCTAATCTTAGTTCAGATAAATCCATGAAGAGTGAGCAGAGAATGTGAAAGGAAGGAAGAGGAATTTCTGAGACACATGTAGTAAGACATTGTGGACAGGATGTGAGCAAGAAGGTGGTTCAGAGAGCTTGATCCCAATATATATTCCAGTGGTAGTGTATCATCAGGATATCTCATACATATCTGAACACACAGGAGTTCCTTAAACTGGGCCTCTTCTGCTCTCTCCTCAAATTGACCCAGCAGCTATGACACACTGATTTAGATGACATGTGTCTCTCTGGGAATGGAGGTAAATGGAAAAAACAGTGGACCAGAAGTAGGAAATTGGAGGTTTTAGAAACTAATGTCAGCATTACCAGATATTCGCCACCTGCTTTTTGAGCAGTTTCTTGTACATTCACTATAAAGGAGACCTGTGAGATGTGAAGAACTTTTTATAACTGAGTATAAAATAGTTCATCAGGCACAAGATCTAGACTCAGGAGTAACCTCATGTCTTTGCCTCTCATATTTCACAATGGTTGCAGCTCTGACATGAATCACATTACAGCTCACATTTTTTTCTGTCTTGGGTTTTGAGGCTAAATGGGTTTAGCAAAGGATATCGTAATTCCTCTTTGTGGCCACAGAACTGTCCTAAGGGATTGCAACAATCAAATGAAATAAGTATTGATAGAGTCACTATTACTCCCAAGGCCACAAAGGGAGCACTTCCTTAGCCTCTAAGGGACTGGAATCTCCAAGGAAATCAGGAGACCTGGCCCCCTAACCGCCTTCACAGCAAGGAGCACATTGAGGGAGGTGCAGACCAGAGGTGAGTTTACACATCAGTGACTAAAGTTTCCTGCCTCTAAGCATAAGAAGTCACTCATGAGCAGCGTCCCTAAACCACAGCTACAGGATGTGGGCACAAGCCCTTGTATAATTGTTGGCGAAGGGCCAATAAGCACTCATCCCCGTGCAAATACTGGGGCTTTTTTTGTTGTTAACCTTTGAAAACCACAGGTATTAGCCTCTCTTTTTCTTCCCCTTGGCACCAATCATCTTTTCTCCAACTTGGTCTCTTGTGTGTAAAGAATTTCTGAGGAGCTTTTAAACCTAAATTTAATACTTTTGCCCTCCCCTCTCCTGCCCCACAAAATGCCAGGCAGAGGTTAAGCCTCCTCACAAAATATCTGCTGGCTATGCTGGCTTCCGCCGCTCTGTTTGGGCTTTTTGATTAGAGAGGAAATCAGAGAGCTCTAGTAGTGACCTTAACCTTCAAAAAAATACAGGCAATTTCTGGAAATTCCCTCTAAACAACAGTGACCTATTTTTTTCACTTTAGAATTAACTCAGCAACTATGATACACGGGTTTACATGACATGACTTTCCATGGGAATGAAGATAAATGGGAAGAGTAGTGGACCAGAAATAGGAAATTGGAAGCTTTAGAATGTAATCCCAGTGTTGCCAAAAATTTACCATCCACTTTTTGAGTAATTTCCTTCCAGTCTCTAGGCCTTTACTCTGTGAAATGAAAGCTTTGGATTAGGTGGTTCCTATCTCTGTAAATTGGATTTCTTAGTGGTGGTTCAGCAAGGGTACAATGAGAATGGGCCTCAATGTACTGTAAAAGATCCCAAACTTATAAGTTGTCCTTTCTTTTCTGCTGTTGAGGCTAGCCAAATACCAGGCCTCCAAAGGGGCCTGGCATTTGGCCTCTCACTGAAGCCAAATTATTGCTGAGGCCAAATTATTATTGTTCATTGAGAGGTCAGGCATGGTGATTGTTGACCACACAGTATATTGTAAATGGTAGAGAATCAATCAGCCTTCACTCTGTACCCAAACACCCTACATCCTGAAATGAAAATCCAAGCTGAATCTACTGAAGCATAAGAATGTTTTCAAATAAAAGATGGCAGATGACCATTACAGGTATAAGTAAACAGAAGGAAGACTTTCTAATTATCAGAGCTTCCCAAGATGTATTAGAAGACTATGGGTTATCTGTCAATAGAGATGTTCAAGCAGTTTCTGAAAGGAGACTCCCTGGGATTTTCTATTGGGAATTCCTGAATGGCACAAAAATCAGGTAAAGAAGATGGCAGTTCTATTTTTGGGGGTATTTCTAACTGTAAGAAGTATATTGTTATCTTAAATTACCATCCAAATTTCTGTATACTCTCATCCTCTGATCATAACCCTACCTTGTATACCCCATATATTACTTTATGACATATCCCACAGGTGAGTCTTTGTGAAATCTGAAGACAGTTCTAGTGTCATCTCTGAGTTCTCCATGCTAAATAGCTTTGGTGAGATTAAATGCTTATTCTATATTGTTATAGGCTGGACCTCAAGACTCAGAAACATCTACCTTCTCTCATTTTCCTGATTTTATTCCATTGATGATGCTATAATGTGTCATTTAGACAGTCATTTGATAACAGTCCCATTTAAGTTACAAAGAGGACAAATGTGCAGAGAGAAGTCAATTGTCAGGCTGGTCCTTAAATGGTAACTGAAAAGAAAGGGCTGGACATTTCAGAGGATGCTGCCAACAAATGCTACTATCTTGAGGCAAATGGGGATTTTCAGGCAACAGTGCTATAATGATTTGCCAATTATGTCTACTTTAGAACCATTGCCAAAATAATCCAACGACTTTTCATTCCACTACTGTTGACAGGGCAGCTAAAAATTTCAACATTTCCTTTTACAGTCTGAATAGAAGTTCCCTGCCTTGGGGACTGTAACAATATTTGCCATCATGGGGTGGGGGGAAGTGGGTGCTGGGAAGGGAAAAGAGAGGGAGGGAAATATTAAGGGAAGTAAACAAAGACAAAATGGAATGAGGTTTATTCAAGACTTGGGTTTTGAATGCCTACATCAAATTGATGTTTATGATTGTATTAGAGGACAAATCTTAGGAATTGAGGAAGTAAGTTTTTCAAGGTAGAACTTCAAAAAATAGATGCCACATAAGCAAAAACAATTACCTGAAAATTTTTATTTGAATGCCTAACAAGATGTCTCAGCTTTGAGTCTTGGGACAGGGCAGAAGTTGGTTATAATAATATTTATGGTGTTCAACATTTTTAAATGATTTTCAAAATAAATTAAAATAAAATTGAAAAATTTAAAAAAGACAAGAACCTTGAAAAGTTGAGAAAAGATAAGGATAATCTGCCAGATTGTTCAAAATTAGACATAAGGAGAGACAAAGAGTAAATGAAAGAAAAACGAGCAATGGAAAACAGAAGAGTTAGGGCACACCTCAAAACCCTTTGGGATCCACAGACGTTCTCCAGGGAGCCCCTCCAGTGGCATTCCTGCTACTCCCTCAATCCTTGTGGCCCTACTTCTATCTGTTTAACATGCTGGGTATCCATTAGAAAGAAAGGACCTGCTATTTTGCTGTGTGTGTATGAAGAAAAAACTGCAAACAAAAATGAGCCATTAAAATTCTTGAGCAGGAAGTGATATGATCAAATTGTGCTTTAGGAATCTGACAACCAAGAGCAGAATGGATCAGAAGAAGGCCAGCCTTTGGAATGAGAATCCCAATTGAAAGGCTGCAACCTTTAAAAAAAGAGATATGCTAGGATCATCCTCCAAGTTTATCTAATAATATACCTGTGAGAATGGAAAGGAGGAGGAGAATACGAACACTTTTGAAAGAAGACTCAACAGTTTGACATCTGGGCATTCAGGTATAATGCTAAGCCACATACAGATATGGTACTGCTATGGTCTGGGTGTTGTGTCTGCCTGAAGTTTCATATGTTGAAATCCTAAAGCCCAGTGTTGAGCCTGAAGGCAGTGATTAGGTCATGAGAACAGAGCCCTCATGGATGAGGTTAATGCCCTTCTAAAAGAAGCGCAAGAGAACATTTTATCATGTGAGGATATAATAAGAAGTCTGTGACTTCAGAAGAATGCCCTTACCTGACCATGCTGGCACCCTTATCTCAGAGTTCCAGCCTCCTGAACTGTGACAAATACATTTCAGTTATACATAAGCTGCCCAATTTGTGGTATTTTGTTACAGCAGCCCAAATAGACTAATACAGATACTATATGGAATGGATTTTGCATGGAATTTAACTGGAACTATAACAATGACACAGAGAAATCCAGGAATTTGAAGATGCTAAATGTGAGAGGCCATTTGAACACTGATATAGATGATCAGCAGACACAAATGAAAAATTAAATCTTGAAGAAATATCAGGGATGCAAATATGGATTTGGAAGTCATTCTTATAAGAAGGGTAGCTAAAATAATAGTGAGACCCCAATGAGAAAGAAAATCAGGATCAGAGGGCCAAAGACCAAGACCTGAAAAATGCCTAAGTTTATAGGAAAGAGTAACAAGAACCTAGAGTCCATCTTAAGTTTATGATCAGGTATCCATTTGATAACATTATTTAATGGGCTTAGGAGAATTTATTTTCTCATTTTGGGAAATCTCATTATCACTATATAAGGTCTAAAGTGTACATTTATCAGTCTAATCAAGCTTCTAGATTTCCTAATGTACTAAATATTCAAAATCATATAATACTATTTAAAAGACATTAATTATTTCAGTCCAAAATGACAGTGAGCCAAACTAGAATCTTCAATTATGATATATGTATGGATGACATACTTATACATCAGAGTCTCAAAAACCAATACTCCCACGGGCAAGAGAATAGCCAAGTTTGTTGCGGTTTCCAATGAATGACATCAGTCCCATGTAGGTCTCAATCAAAATGGGTTCATTTAACACTATCAGTTCCTTTGCTCTTTCAGATCCACTTGAATTCTTGAGGGCATTCTGGATAGCTGGCACAAGCTTAGACATGAACCCGGACAACTGAAGAGGAAAAGAGGGCACAGCGTTAGTGAATGCAGATTGGGTCCAGATGAACCTCCTCCCAACTTATAAAAGTTCACCACTCTTGGGAGCTTCAGTTATTTTTACTTCTTGAATAAGAATCATTTCTCAGAATTATTAACATTTCTTCTGTTAGTGTTTTAATAAATTAATCCATTAATAAATTACATACATAAAGACATCTACCTTGTTTTATTTATTTTTTATTGCTGATACTTTGTGCAACATTAAGAAGTCAGATTCATAAGTATTTACTGACAGTCTATTGTGAATCACACCTCTTGCCCTGAAAGAAGTGACAGTATAATAATCTAAGAAATGCACTTCTAATTATTATACAAAGTTCACAAAAATAAATAGTAAAAAGAAGCACAAGATGCTAAAGGAAAACAAAAGAGGGAGAAATCATACACGGTTAGAGATTCAGGAATAACAAAACATGACTCAAGACAATCTTTTGAGGGTTAATAGAGTTTCAGTGACTGAAATAAGGTTAGTGAGGGCTTATTGACAGCTGCTCCTTTTACCAACCCAGCATCCTTCCCACTATTTGATATTCTTCTACTAATAAGAGTATTTCAATTTTCATTTGAAGAACTACCTTCTTCCATTTAGTCCAAGTAGTTTAAGTGGAGCTGACTTTAGCAAATTACTCTGGTATAATCATTCAGAGATATCCATTCCTCTGGTTACAGAGATTGGTTCAGGTATCTCTACACAATCAATGTGATTGAGAAATTGATAGAATACAAGCCTATTAGTATTCATGGCCATTTTTGCCACACATAGGGAGAACCTAACTAAGAAAGAGCTAAGACATTGAGAGAGATCAGTTCTTAACAAAGACATTTGAATTGATCTATTCAAAGACAAATGTCTACCATAAACTTTTAGTTAAATGAGTGAAAAATAAAAATTTTTCTTTGGTCAAAACAAGTCCAATTGGGTTAAGAGAAGAATAATTCAGGGAGGATTCCAAACAAAGATATAAACAGAGAAATAAATTGAAAAAGCTTTTATATTTGTATTTTCAATAAGTTATTTAATATTCATTACCTCATTCCAACATAAACTTGTCAGGTATGTAAAAGAAAGTATCATTTCCATGCTAGCCACCAATTCCCATAGAGGTAAATGACTTACGCAAAGACACTCCACTTTCTTAATCATAGTTAAAAAAAATAAAAACAAAGACAAAAGCAAAAAAACTGTTAGAAAAGTGCCTACTCACAGTGAGATCTAAATCTGTATCCTGGGCAATTGGATCACTAATCTAAATAAAAATTCTTACAGTAAATTCCAATATCAATTCAAATTATCCAACATACTGTATAAATCATTCTTCCCATTTCTCCACCAGGAGGCCAATCTTTACTTTAAAGAAGTAAGATACGAGTGATGATTCAATAAAGAAGGAGAAGTCTATAATCTTTCATCATAATCTAGTTTTCTTTTTTTAGTTGTATTTTGCCATTACTATTTATCCCCTTACACCCTCTTCCACTTCCACCCACCACCTTGCCTTACACCCACAATCACCACGCTGTTGTTCATGTCCATGAGTCCTTTCTCTTTTTTGCTTTCTCCCTCAACCTGCCCCAATGCCTCCCCTCAGAGCTGTCAGTCTGCTCTCTACTTATAAATTTGTTTCTATTTTGCTTGTTAGATCAGTTCAAGAGATTCTACATATGAGTGAATCTTAGGGTATTTGTCTTTGTCTGGCTGGCTTAGTTCACTTAGCATAATGTTCTCCAGGTCCATCCATACTTTTGCAAAGGGTAACATTTTCTTCTTTTTTATGGCTGAGTAGTATTCCACTGTGGAAATGTACCTTAGTTGTTCTATCCACTCAACTACTGATGGACACATGGTATGTTTCCAAATCTTGGCTATTGTAAATAATGTTTCAATGAAGATAGGGGTGCTTATATTCCTTAAAATTAATGTTTTGTATTTCTTCAGATAAATCCCCAAAAATGAAAACATCGCACCGTAAGGTAGTTCTATTTTTTTAATTTTTTTCAGGTAATTCCATATGCTTCCCACAGTGGCTGCACCAATCTGTATTCCTACTACCAGTGCAAAAGCGTCCCCTTTCTTCACATCCTTGCCAAGGCTTGTTGTTTGTTGATTTATTGATGATAGTCATTTTGACCAGTGTGAGGTGGTATCTCATTGTGGTTTTAATTTGCATTTCCCTGATGATTAGTGACATTGAGCATCTTTTCATATGTATATTGGCCATGTCTATTCAAGCCCTTCGCTCATTTTTTAAATTGAATTGTTTGTTTGTGCTGGTGTTGAGATTTTTAAGTTCTTTATAAATTTTAAATAATAATCCCTTATCATATGCATTAGTGAATATATTCTCCCTAAAACTATCCCATTTACAATTGCTTCAAAAACTACAAAATACTTAGAAGTAAATCTAACTGAAGATGTAAAAGACCTATATCCCGAAAATTATAAGACACTGAAGAAACTGAAGAAGATACAAACAAGTGGTAGCACATACCATGCTCATGGATAGGAAAAATTAGCATCATTAAAATGTCCATGCTACCCAAAGCAATCTATAGATTCAGCACAATTCTTATCAAAACATCAATGATATATTTTACAGAACTAGAAAAAATATTTCAAAAATTTATATGGAACCACAGAAGGCCCTGCATAGCAACAGCAATCTTGGGAAAGAACAAGGTTGGAGAAATCATGCTATCTAATATCAAACTATACTGTAAGTCCACAGTAATCAAAACAGCATGGCACTGGCATAAAAACAGACACATCAATAAATGGAATAGAATAAAAAGACTAGAAATAAGCCCACACCTTTAAAGTCAATTAATATTTGACAGAGGAAACGAGTACCTACAATGGGTAAGAGTTTTCTATTCAATAAATGTGTTGGGAAAATTGGACAGATATGTGCAGAAAAATGAAACTAAACTGCCTTCTTATGCCACACACAAGAATAAACTCAGATTGAATTAAAGACTTAAATGTTAGACCCCAAATCATAAAAACCTTAGAAGAAAACATAGGTATTTAAATCTTGGGCATTGCTCATAGCAATATTTTTTTTCTGATATATCTCCTCAGGCAAGGGAAATGAAAGAAAAAGAAAAAAATAAACAAATGGGACTACATCAAACCAAAATGTTTTTGTACAACAAAGGAAACCATTAACAAAATCTAATTTTCTATGCAGGTTTTATCCTGAGTTCTTAATTTTATACCCAGTTGCCCTTAGGTAAACCACTTCTCCATGTTAGGCTTAGTTTTCTTATTAGAAGGGGGAAAATGCTCTAGAATTTAGAATGCATCTATTATTACTAGGTGACCTCACACATAAGTGAGAAAAGAAAAAAAGAAAAAAAAACATGCAAATGATATGTCTAATTTGTCAGCTGTGTGACACTGAAATTTAACTTCCCCTTTCAGAGCCTTGGTTCATTTGAAAAGAAGCATCACAATCTGTTTTTAAGATAATATCAGAAGAAAGAAATAAGTTACTGATCATAAGATGACATAGAGTTTGCTAGAGTACTTCAGTATCAGTGGCTTTTTCAGAAAAAAACTAAGGTATTTGTCCCTCTACTTTTCTTTAAAGTAATATTTTAAATTGGATAACATAAAAACATTAATTTAAAAAATAAGGAAAAAGGGATGACTTTACTGAAGTTAAAGAACCTAACAGACAAGCAGGGTTTTACTTGTTCTCCATGACTTTCATGTGGGGTGGCAAAGACAGACAGAATGTACATATTATTATAGTCCCAGCAGCCTCTTTGAGACCTCAAAGGAGATCTAAATATTGGTGTTACTTAATGAAATAAACTATAGTCACATAGCCTGGAGACTCCAGAAGGAAGGACATGTTCCTTTCAGGAAACTCTATCAGAGTTTTAGTTCATTGAATGTGAAAATCATAGAAAAGTGTTCTTTCTTCAACTTCCAAAAGAGAAAAAGCAAAAAGAAAAGAATACACATACACACAAAAATACACATACACACACAAAAAAGAATACACCATACACAAAAATAAATTCAAGGTGGATAAAAGACTTAAATATTAGTCACGACACCATAAAACTCCTAGAGGAGAACATAAGTAGGAAAATCTCAGATATTCCATGCAGAATATTTTCACCAATATGTCCCCTAGAAGAAGGGACATAAAGGAAAGAATAAACATATGGGACTTCATCAGATTAAAAAGCTTCTGCACAGCTAAAGAAAACATCAGCAAAATGAAAAGGAAACCAATCATGTGGGAAAATATATTTTCAAATGATACCTTGGACAAGGGTTTGATCTGTAAAATATATAAAGAACTCACATGACTCTGCAGGAAGACAAACAACTCAATTAATGGGCAAAGGACCTGAACAGACACTTCTCCAAGGAGGACATACAGAGGATCCAGAGACACATGAAAGGATGCTCGGTATCACTAGCTATCAGAGAGACACAAATTAAAATCACAATGAGATGCCACTTCACACTGGTCAGAATGGCCATCATAACCAAAGTAACAAACATGTGCTGGTTAGGTTATGGAGAAAAGGGAACCCTAGTGTCCTGTTGGTGGGAATACAGATGGGTGCAACTACTGTGGAAAACATTATGGAATTTCATCAGAAACTATAAACAGAACTGCCTCTTGACATGGAAATTCCACTGCTTGGAGTATACCCTAAGAATCCTGAAACACCAATTCTAAAGAACCTATGCTCCCCAATGTTCATAGCAGCACAATTTACAATAGCCAAGTGTGGAAGCAACCTAAGTGCCCATCAGTAAATGAGTGGATCAAAAAATTATGGTACATTTATACAATGGAATACTACACAGCAGATAAAAAAAAGATGGAGTTCCTACCCTTCATGACAGCATGGATGGAAGTGGAGAGTGTTATGCTAAGTGAAATAAACCAGATGGTGAAAGACAAATACCATATGAACTGACCTATA